CCCCTTACTGTGATGAAGTCGTTGGTCAATGTTACCATCTCAATGAACCCTGCCCTGAATGCCCAACATAAAACAGACCATCACCCATCACTCTCTAACATCTTTATCTCGACTCATAGCACGGATCACCATGTGACCTTATTATCTTTTATTTTTATTTCCCCACTAAATGTAAGCTCTGTAGGGAGTTTGCCCGTTTCCCTCACTGCTGATCCCCAGTGCCCAGGACAGTGCCTAGCAGGTGGCAGGTGCTCAATTGATGTGCAATGAATGAATGAATGTATGCATGCCAGTGGTGTCTCCCGAACTAGAGCTCTGAAGCATGGGCTCAGCTCCTTTCTCATCTTCCACAGCACCTGTCACTGAGCTAGGCTCTGTGCAGGAGCTCAAGAAATACCTCTGGGATGAAACTGAACTGGGCCTGACCATGTTTCTGCTGGCATAACTATGGAGTGATGATTACAATGATCACAGCCACACAGACATCTCTGACTATTGCAGGTACACAACTATCATCTCAATTAATTAACAAATTTATTCATTTAATAAATGTTTTTGAACATGCAGGACTCTTTTAGGCCCTGGACAAATAAACATGAATAACTTTTCTTTTCTAGGGGGCTCTCAGTCAAGTCAGGGAGGCAGACTCACATGCAGACAATTATAATGCTGCTTGGTAAGTGCAACACAGGGAAAGCCACAAGGCATGCAGGAGAAAGACCTGATGACCTGCTCTTGTAAAGATTACAGCTTATGAAACTCTATGGGGCAGTTATACTGTGTCATATAGTGTCACCAGGGGTTGGAATCGACTCCATGGCACACAAAAACTAAAATTTCAATCTGTTTCTGATCAAGTTAAAAAAAAACAAAAAGCAATGTGAAAGCAAAATTTAGAATATGTCAACTATAAAAATACTTACTTGATGTTTAACTTAAGATAAACAGAGAGACTGGGCATACTAAATGTAATCTACAAGTAACGTCATAACTTAATGTTCACAATTACTTGACTTAGTTCATAGGAAATCGCTGTTTACCTCTTCATAAACCTTCTTGGCATTTTCGTTATCCCCTATCAAGAGGTATCCCACGCCAAGGTCATTCTTTAAGGAAGTATCGTTGGGGAACAGTTGAACTAATCTCTTTAGGGTCATTAGGGAACCCCTCATATGACCTGATTTGTTGGGAACAAAAAAAAAGAGAGAGAAATAAAAACAGATTATGTACACTTTTGTACTGCAAATACAAATCATGAGAGACTTCTACAGGCCTGAATACCAGCTTAAATCTGACTTTATATACAAACGGCTAAGTATTAGGATTTAATCATGCAGTTGCAATGGTATCAATTTCTACTATAAATAGATACTGAATCTAATGTTAATTATACACATTTTAAAGACATTCTGATTTTCTGCATTCATCAACATTTACATTTTCATGTTAAATTTCCTCTTTGAAAACTTTCAGTTACCAATTTCTTATGAAGATGTTTATTTTTGGTTTATGATACTTCTTGTTAAAATTACCAACAGAAAATAGACAAGTAACAAAATCTAACACAGGGTCTAGCACCATGCAAAACTCGAAAGGGCACTGAGGTACGTGGGACAGTGTTTAATTGCTGACACCCGTCTCCAATAGGAGTGCATTCGTCTCTGTGTAATGACCTAGTCACAGAGCAGAGCATACATCATCCAGTATTATGGGACCCTCTGGTGGACAATAGGATACCATGCACTACATGAATCAGGAAAACCCCAGCTTCAATTCTGGGGCCGATTGCCATTACTTCTTGTCAACTGGACCGTAAAACACACTTATATGACCTTCCCCTAGAGACACTGATAAATCGTCCAGGTAACCATCCAGCTGCTGACCACCCAACCTGAGCAGTTACATGAAGCTTACGCTCTTCCCTCCTGGTTTACTGATGACGTGCTAGGTGGGAGAGTCACACGTCTGGCTCAGATGAAGGCAGGTAACAGCTAGTCTTACTTGGCTCTGGCACTGGAGATATGAGTCAGTCAGACAGGATGCTCTAAGCTATTCTCTTCAAACCACTTGCAAATTTATTTTGTGATGAAATTTTGTTATCCAGCATTTTTCTTGGTGTGGAATTAAATCTGACAAGCAAAATTTTCAGAATGCCTGGAACTCCTAACATTCCTTAACAAAAACTGTTCTGCTGATAACTTCAACTTCCATTCATCAGTTTGTTATAGTAAAGAGAGAAAATAATTTGGCATGGCAGGATGAGCTTTTGATTCCAGACCCATTAACATGTTAGCCGTGGCTCCTTAGGCAAATTGTCTCACCTCTCAGCATCTCACTTGCCTCACTTGTAAAAAAAAAACAAAAACAAAAACCAAACCCGTTGCTGTCAAGTAGATTCCGATTCATAGCCACCCTATAGGACAGAGTAGAACTGCCTTGTAGAATTTTCAAGGAGCAGCTGGTGGATTCAAACTGCCAACCTTTTGGTTAGCAGCCAAATGTGTAACCACTGTGCACAAGCTGGTGGGGGGGATGCCATCTACCTCTTTGTAATGATTAAGGTTGGGAGTTTCAGTTTAGAGACGGTGCATCTAACACACAGTCACGTCAGATTTACCAGATGAATTACTTATAAACCCAAGTTTCCTCTCTTGTAACTCAACTCTAAGTCTATGCATGACTGACCTTAGGGTCTTCAAGATAAAGTGTACAATTCCCTACTGATTGAACTCCTATTCCACCTTACCTAGAAATTGCTGTCTTTCTGACCGCCGCTTCAAACTTAGCTTCACCAGGTCAGCAGGGACATCAGGCAGGCTGGCCACCTCCTGGTAGGTCTCGATGGCCCCCCGCAGCACCTCATTGCTCCTCCTCTTCTCAGCTAAATCATCTTCACACTAGAGGAAGCCCCACACTGGATAAATGTCACCTGACTAGCTACGTTTGTAATCATACCAAGTATTCAAAAACAGTTAAGTTCTGAACATGTTTTGGAAGTAATTCAAGACAATCATTACATTTTTCTCTTATTAAGAGATAAAAACAATAAGCAAAAGAAAGCAACACAACACACTATTCTAATTATATGAAGAAAAGTTAGCTACTAAGTTACAGATGAGAAAACATTACAAAACAAGACTAATACATACTAGGGCTCTTAGAGATTTATATCATATTATACATTAACATTATATAGACAGGACTCTAATCCACAGCTCCCGTTCTCTCCTTAGTTCATTTGTTCATTCATTCACTCAACAACTATTTTCTGGAGGCCTTCTCTATGCCAGACACTGCTCTAGGCATGTGGAAGACAAATGGAACAAAACAGGCAGAACTCTTTTCTCATTTTGCTTACATTCTGGAACGGAGGGAAAGACAATATACAAATAAAGCTAACATATGTTTGACAGCCACAAGTGCTGTGGATAAAAATAAAGCAGGCTTAGGAGTGCTGGGGAATGTGGTAGAAACATTGCTAGCTTAATTGGGATAATCAAGGAGGGCTTGAAAGAAGTGAGGCAACAAGGTATGAGGGTATCCAGAAGAAGGGCATTCCAGATAGAGAACAGCAAGAGGAAAGACTTTGAGGAGGGAGTAAAGAACAGAGGAATTCAACGTGGTGGGGTGGAGGGAGTAAGGGCAGAGTGGGGGACATCAGACAATGCAGGGCCTGGTAAACTCTTGTCATGAGGCATAGGTGGTTCAGTGGTGAAATTCTCGCCTTCCATGCTGGAGTTCCAGGTTCAAATCCCAACTAATGCACCTCATATACAACCACCACCTGTCTGTCAGTGCAGGCTTGCATGTTGCTATGATGCTGAACACATTTCAGCAAAGCTTCCGGACTAAGACGAACTAGGAAGAAACTTCAGATGAACTTCAGAAGTAGGCTTGGTGATCAACTTCTGAAAACCATCCAATGAAAACCCTACGGATTATAATGATCCTATGCGCAACTGATCGTGAGGATGGTGCAGGACGGGCAGCTTTTGTTCCACTGTGCATGGGGTCACCATGAGTCGGGGCCAACTTGACAACAGCAAACAATAACAACAAATAGTTGTCAATTCTTTGGCACTAACTATAAGTGAGACGGAAAACCATCGGGGGGGTTGGCACAGTCTGATTTATGTTTCAAAGAGATCACACGGGCAGGGAAAACAGACGAGGGAGTAAGACTGCAGGCAGGGGGCCCAATTAGGATGCTCTGGCAGGAATCTAGACAAGAGGTTATTGTGCTTGGACCTGGGTGGTAGCAACAGAGGTGGTAAGAAGTGGTTGGATTATAGATATATTAGGAGGGTCATAGCAAACAGATTTTTGGATAGACTGCAGGATATAAAGAAAGGGAGAGAATGGATGAATTCAAGGTTTTTGGCTTGAGCGATGAGTAGATGGAATTATCATTCACTGAGAATGGGAAGATAAGACAGAAGCAGGTTTGCTGTTGTTGTGAGGTGCCATTTAGTTGATTTTGACACGTAGCGACCCCATGTGACAGTAGAACTGCCCCATAAGGTTTTTTAGGCTGTAATCTTTACAGGAGCCAGTAGGTTTGAATCGCCAACCTTTTGGTTAGCAACTATGTGTTTAACCGTTGTGCCATCAGGGCTCCTTGAGGCAGGTTTAACCAAAAAAAAAAAAACCAATTCTGACTTGTAGCAACCCTATAGGACAGAGTAGAATCGCTCCATAGGGTTAGAGGGTATAAAATGAGGAGTTCTGTTTAGGACATATTAAATTCAAATGCCTATCAGACACCCAGTGGAGATATTGAATAGGAAGTTGCATATATAAGTATGGAATTCAGGGGAGAGACCAGAGTTAGAAATATAAATTTGGGAATCATCAGGCACGTAGATGGTATTCAAAGCTATGAAGCTGGATGCAGTTGTGAGTGTAGACACAGAAAAGAAGAGGTACATCTCTTTACAGGTCAGGAAGACAAGGGAGGATCAGGAAAAAGGAGTGAGTTAGGAAGAAGTTAACGACAACAAAAAAAGTGGCGTTCTAGAAGGCAAGTGAAAAAAGATTTCAAGAGGGAGAGTGCTCAGCTGTGTTAGCAGTGGCTGTCGGGTTGGGCAAGATGAGAGCTGAGTAGGTGCTGCTGTGTCGGGTAGAGTGGCACCACCAATGGCCCTGACAAGAGGATTTCCACTGGACTGCTGTGGACACACAACTGCGTGGAGTGGGCGCAAGAGAAATCAGGAGAAAAGGAGACTGAGACACCTCTTTCATGAGTTTCACTGTAAAGGAGAGCAGAGGAACGGATCAGCAGCTGGAGGGAAATGTGGAGACAAGGGAGAGGTTTTTAGTGAAAGGAAACATCACAGCATGTTTCTATGCTGATGAGAACGATCCAGTGGAGAGGGGAGATCTGATGATGAAGAGGGGCACAGAATTAGAGTGACGTCCTTCAGCATGTGAAAGGGGATGGGGAAGGGATTTGAGAACAGTTCATCTAGGGCAGCAGGAGAGAAGGCAGAGTACAGGGGGATAGGGACAGGCAGGGTGTTGGAGGAGTGGTGGTATCCTGTGGGGAAGCTACTTTGGATGCTTCTATTTTCTTTGTGAAATAAGAGGCATGATTTCTTAGCTACAGATGGAGAACAGGGGATGAAATACTGGAGGCAGGAGGAGAGAGGAGGTGTAAAATGCTCATCAATATCTAATCAGATTTGGTAGATTACAATTTAAAGATTACCATTTGAGGAAAAATTAGACCAATTAGATGCTAAAAGTAGCAAATACAATTTTTTCCCCTGAGAATATCCTGTTTAACATGCTACTTTGTAGAAGTGTTTGCTGTAGTCAAATACTGAAGAAAACCAAAATAAAGCATGACTCCACAACCTGAGAATATGGTCAGAAAACGATCCATCCCTTTTCTATCCCCAAATGAAAAAACTAACCAGAATTAATAGCAATTGATAAAATAAAATATCTGTGGGAAGCTTTTCAGAAAATAAGACACCAAAAAAAAACTTGTCAAATAGTACAATTTTCCCAAGACGAACGGGGCTAGAATTGAAGCAGTGGGGATAGAGAAAAGTAGATAGATTTACATGACATTTAGAGACTAAAATTGATAGGACAACAGTCTCTAGATCAGAAAGGAGTAATTTACCCTTGTGTGATGGAAATATGCTTCAGACCACTCAACTACCTTTTCAAACCTATGAATGGCCTCCGGAATGGACGTATCTACCCCCAGAGAAAGGCTACTGTTAATAGACCGTGACAACTGGTTATCTTGCCTGTGTGGCTTCCATTGTACATTCATACACTAGCTCTTCTGTTGAGGCAGTGGTTTCTTGTGAGTTGGGCTATGGCGAATTAACTCCCCAGATTATGGTCATCATAGATGAATTCACAGAATCACGGAGTCCTAGAGCTGACAGCATTCGTTTGAGACCATCAAGTTCAACCTCGTCACTTTGAACCTATAAAGCTACCAAATAGAGTCTGGCACTGAAGGGGCTCTGTATGGTTAATGGAAGGACAGATGCTTACCAAGAACATCCGTCTACATAAAGGTAATATCAAATACCCTTTACTAAGCTCAGTCTAAAAAGAAAGCATGATAATACAATCTACAAGGCTCCCCCCACCGTCATCCCAAGGGCCTTTGTTTTAACAAAGTATAAACACTTTACAACTTCCAGAATTGCGAAAATGTCGGCTTTAAAATGGTATATAACTCTTTCAAATCTCTTGACTGAAACTGATAGGCGTTTGCTTTGAAAATGAAAATTGTACAGATTGATTTTTATCAGTCTAACATCTGTAGATAAAATGAGCTGAGCTGAGACTGACATTTGTTACAGGATGTTAACATTGAAAGCCTTTTGTTGACTAACTAATTCTTCCCACCTACCCTTCCTAGGAGAGGTGTCATTTTCTGCCTCAGAGGCGTTCATGGTTTGTGTAAGCCAATAAAGTGAATTGGGTTTATAATTCAAGATTTTGTGTCCGATGTTCAGGGAACTTGGTCAAAACTGATTTTCACAGTGATCCAAAGAACAAGCAATCTCAGTGCTACTTTAGAAATGATAGATACTCTAAGTTTGTATCTAACTTAATGTTTGCTGTTTTTTAAAAAAAAATATGTTGGGACATTCCAAAGTAATTAGTAAATCTGCTAACAAAGAATGAAGACGTCATGTTTTTTTCCTCCCTATAACACCCACCTTCTAATTACTTTTTGTATTTAAAACTCCTATGAATTTAAAGCTTCTTTAAAATTATTCTATTAACATTTGGAGCCCTGGTGGCGCAGTGGTTAAGAGCTCAGCTGCTATCCAAAAGGTCGGCAGTTGGAATCCACCAGCCGCTCCTTGGAAACCCTATAAGCAGTTCTACTCTGTCCTATAGGGTTGCTATGAGTTGGCATTGACTTGATGGCAAGGGGGATTAATACTTCACACATACTTAACTTTTGCTTTATGCCATAGTACTGTTAATATCAATAATACCTTGTAGCATAACAATTTAGAGATAAAAAATATGTTTACCGAAGACTAAATCTTAAGTTTCCACTGTTAAATATGGACATAAATACAGCAATCACCATGTTCCAAAAGTACTTCATTTATTTAGACTTTGATATCCACAACTAATATCACATATAAAGAAAAATGCTAAAGTAGAAAACACTTTTGCCATAATATAATTAGCATTTGCATCAATCATTTTTCTCTATAGTTAATATGCATTTCTTCATGAACTATTAATACTAGTGACAAATGCGTCACTTATTTGAATAGGGATAATCTTTTTGTAACAAACCCATTCACTCTGCTTAATAGTGATGTAATTTAGTAACTTTGGAGGATTACTGGCCAAATCAACTTACAAAAATGGTATAATTGCCTCCTAAACCTGGTCTCTACCATGGATAAGGGGGACTTATTTGCATTAATTTTAAACCCTGGTGGCGTAGTGATTAAGCGCTATGGCTGCTAACCAAAAGATCGGCAGTTCAAATCCACCAGGCACTCCCTGGAAACCCTATGGGGCAGTTACACTCTGTCCAATAGGGTCACTGAGAGTTGGAATTGACTCGATGGCAACGGGTTTGAGTTTTTTTTTTTTGGTTTATCTCTATATTTATTCAACTCTTTTTCATATTTCACAACAAATTTTGTTTACATCATACTGATTCTAACCACTTCTTCAGGAACTTTCTTAAGATTTTTATGTCTTCAGTAATTGTCAATGGATTTCTTTTTTGGTTCATTAAATCTTATATGTAGTTATTGCTGGTGTATTAACTCTTCTGAAACTTAATTTATTACATTTTAATTAATAAGAATTTAATTAGTTACTTTTTAATGGGGAGATAGGAAGAATTTGAGCATCTGGCTCTTGAGTGGCTGCTCCCTTACAGCCACAGTGAAGCATTCTTGCTTCATCCATAGAAGTGCTGGTGCTTGTGTGAGTGTCACGCACCAAGTACCTGCATGGCCCCCCTCCAAAGGGATGTGGTGAGCCTCTCCTTGGTTCTGGAAAATTTCTGTTGCTCTGCATTTATTGCGTCCCAGAAGGGGGCTGACCATCTCATCCCCCCGGCAGCGCCATAGGAGCTTTATTGCCTGATGCATATGTAGATCCAGCCCGGATTTTACTCTGAGATCCAGACTCCATAAATCCAATGATCTACCTGACATTTCCTCTTGACTGTAGAATAGGCATCACAAACTCAACCAGACCAAAGACAGTCTTGATTTCTTCACCTCCCCAAACATGCTCCTTTACCAGTCTTCCTGGTTTGTAACTGGCACCATCATCTCCTCTGCTGGTCAAACCAAAACCCTAGGAGTCATCCTTGATTCCTCTCTTTCTCTTGCCCTTACATCTAATCCATCACCAAGCCTTTCAGCTCTACCCTCTGCCCATATCTCTCCATCTCCCAGACCATGACCCTAGTCAATCCTACCATCATCCCCTGCAAACACTTGCAACGACCTCCTATTATTCCTGCTTCTATTTCTGCCCCTACAGTTCATTCTCCACCCGGAAACCAAAGCAATCTTTATAAAAAACAACTAGACAGGCCACACCCATGTATAAAATTCTCCAGTGGCTTCCCGGGGCACTGGGCATAAAGTCTGTGAGAATTAAGTCTGTAAGAAGTGTAGTCTGTAAGGCCACTTTACCCTCCTTCACCATGCCCTTCTTTCTGTCGAGCTCATGACAACAAGACTGCTTCCATGCAACACAACACAGCCTCTGCACTTGCTCTTCCCTTCTCCTGGACAGATGGCTCCTTCTACAATCTTTGCGAGTCTCAGCCCAGATGTTGCCTCCCTAGAGAGGCCTTTTGTGATCACCTCATCTAGAGTGCCATCTGCCCTGTCATTTTCAATCACATTTCCTGTAGCCAAAAAAAATATTAAGAGGTATACTCTTCATTCTATTTTCTTTTCTTTATGGCATGCATTATTTTGCTAAATGATACACTTATTTTTAATATTTTATAATATTTTCTAAGTAAATATTTACAAAGAATTTCAGGGCTTTATTCAAATGTCACCTTCACAGTGAGCTCTTTCACTGCCATTCCAACCCCCTCACACATGTCCCTGCTTTATGTCTTGTTCTCTTTAGCGCTTATCACTAGCAAATACTTCTGTTTACTTATCTGATGCACTGTCTCCTAATTACAATGAAAACATCATATGGACAGGGATTTTTATCTGTTTTGTTGACTGTTATACCTCCAGAACAGGGCCTGGCACATACTAGGTTATCGCTAAATACCTTCTGAATACGTAATTTGTAAAATGTTTCCCACTAGAATATAAAATCCCTGAGGGCAAGGACCTCTCAGTGCTCATTATGATATTCCCAGGGCCTAGAACAGTACCCACACGGGAGGTTTATGTAGTTACAGGTGAATGTGGAAAAGGTTTACAAAAGATGGAGATAAGAAAGGAGATGGTGGGAGTGGGAGACGGTGAGAAGGTAGCTGGGTAAGAAATGAGTCAGCTGAAAGAAACCAGCGAGAAGACAAAGTACATTCCATTTTATATTTTTTTAAAAAGTCTTTCCTAGGGATAATTTCAAGTTATAAAATTTTCAATCTCTGAGGAAATTGTTGAGATGGTGTACGTTTTGCTATGTATATTTTCACCACACATACACATACACAAACTTAACAAAAGAAAAAAATATATATATGTATAAAAATATATCACTAATTAACTATTTAAAAAAGATCTCTGAGGAGCCTCAGTGGAAAACTGTGTGGTGAGTCTAAATGAAAAGGAGGGTTGTGGAGGTGGGTGACAGGAAATCTATTAGAAAAGTGTTGATCTCTAGTTTCTTTTCAAAGCCAGAGAGATGTCATATGGAGGGGGAGCAGAAAAAAAAAATTACTAAATTCAGCAGGAAACAACAGCAACAATTGTCTTATTTTAAAAAGCTTTTCTTCTTGGTTTCATGCCTATACATAAATGAGAAATAGATTCTGTAAAGAAATTACAAGGGGAAAGAGAAAATGCATAAATGTGGAGTGGAAAATTCAATTACACAGAACATATGGACATCAAATAAGTTAAGTTTTCTAAACAGAAGAGTTTCAGAATACCTGTGCCTTCCCATATCTTGCCCGTGGACTGTGGGGGTACTTGCGCACTAGTTCTTCAAATGCATTCACTGCTTCCTCAATTTTTCCCTGTTAGGAAGAGATAGTTACATAAGGACAGTAAATTCAAATGCATAATGCTATACAATACAGTTATTTAATATTCACCAAGTGATGATGTCAAAATTTCCTGGACAACATTCTGAGATTTAAGGTAATTTTATCTAAGATTTAAAAAAAAAAAATTGTTTTATTGCAATCATTAAAATTAGAAAGGAGATAAGCATACTTTATTTTTGAAAAGGCAGACACCTGACAAATGGTACACTGTATGTATTTGTTACCGAAATTACCTTTTCCCTCTCATAGATATGAACAATTTCTACATGCATTCCTGACTATTTAGATTTTATGCAGAGAAAAAAAAATACAGCTTCCAGCTAGAATGTCTTGGAGGGGCAATAAGTCTCACAGATGCTCAGAAGCACCTGTTAAAACAGTGGGGGATCAACCCGAAGGAAGCATGGACCACTTGGCTCTGGCATCTGTCGCCCACCGAAAACGTCAAGGTTGATTCAGCTCATCTGGCTGATGCGAGCTGGCTGACTGGAGAGCCTAGTGACTCTGTGTCCTGCGGCCCCTCCCAAAGCTCACATGAGCCCTTGAGAAGATGACTCTTTGATCATTACTGCATGAAAAGAAATGGAGAACGTGCCACAGGTATACTTGGTAGAAGTCTTGGCATTGAGGTGAAGAATCTCTCCCTGTCTCACCCCTTCCAATGCCATTCCACAGCATAAAACAAACGTCTCCTGGTTTCTAATGAATGGCAGCAGTTCAAGGATTTTGGGAATGATGGGATAAAGACAGATTTCCCAAAAATGAATCTTCCTAGATACTTGAGCTGTCTATAAGTTGGTGAACCCATCCATTCACAGGTAAATGCAAACTCACTGTGATTCACATGCTTTGATCTTCACTGAGTGAGTTTTCATACAACAAAGTTTACCTTACAAATCTAGCTATAAAAAGCAAACTGTAACTTTTTTCTGAAAGACTTGAATAAATAGTAAGAAGTCAGGCAAAATAATATTAAAGTTCCTTAAAATCATTTTTTTCAGGTAGATATCATCTAAGAAGGAGGCTTCCTTTTTGTTCTCATATGCCTCCCAGTGATGCTAAGGTGTTGTAGAAGCATAAGCATAGTGTAGTGGTTACAAGTGCAACCTGCAGCCAGAATGACTGGTTAGAATCTGGGCTCCACCACTTACATGAAGTGTCTGACTTGCAGTAAGTTACTTCTGACTGCCTGAGGTGCCTCATCTGTGAAACAGGGATAATGATGGAATCTAGTTGCTGCGAAGTTTCAATGTGATAAGATACATAAAGTGCTTGTAGACACAATAGAGAACATACAAACTATTAAAAGTGTTACCCATTATTATTATTGCGTAGTGTGGGATGTGTGTGTGCAGGCACAGGATGATGGGGCAGCCATGGCGAGATACAGGACAGAGAATGAGAACTTGGACATAGAGATAAATAAAGCCACAAACATATTCTCTTAAGTTGTATTTATTGTCAAAAATAATTATATCACTATTTAAAATACATTGTCCCTCTCACTACATTACTTTTTAAAACCACCATTTTATTTCTTTTATGAATGGTTTTCAGGAGTGCTGAAGAATTCATGTTAACTATCTTTTTCTGTGGGACTGTCTTATAAATAACCTGTACTAGTTTCCTGTGGCTGCTGTAATAAGTTATCACAAATTTGGAAGCCTAAAACAATATAAATTTATTCTCTCATGATTCTGGAGTCCAGAAATCCAAAATCAGTATCAAAGGGCTGAAATCAAGGTGTCAGCAGGGCCAGGCTCCTTCCAGAGGCTCTAGGGGATAATCTGTTCCTTGTCTCTTCCAGCTTCTGGAGGCTGCCAGCATTCCTTAATTTATGAACACTTCACTCCAATCTCTGCCTCCATATTCACATCAGTTTTTTCTCTGTGTGTATGTGTGCCTTCTCCTCTTTGTGTGTATCAAATCTTCCTCTGTCTCTCTCTTATCAGGACACTTTCAATTGTCTTTAGGGACTACTTGGATAATCCAGGATAATCTCCCCAACTCAAAATGCTTAGTCAAATCTGCAAAGATTCTTTTTCCAAATAAAGTAACATTTACAGGTTCTAGGGATTAGGATGTGGATATCTTCTGGTTGGCCATTTTTCAGTCTACCCTAGTCTGCCTTTTGGCTCCCGAAGATTCACATCCATCCCATTTGCAAAATATTTTCAGTCTATCCTAACATCCCCCAAAGTCTCAACCCATTAAAGCATTAATTCAGTCTAAAATGTCATGTAAATATCATCAGCTCAAAAGCCCCAAATCTCATCATTTAAATCAGATATGGGTGAAACTCTGGGTATGATCCATCCTCGGGCAGAATTCCTTTCCATCTATGAATCTGTGAACCTAGAAAGCAAATTATCTGCTTCCAAAATATAATGGTGGTGTAGGCATAGAATTAGAGTTACATACATCCCCATTGCACAAGGGAGAAAATAGAAGGAAGGAAAGAGTTATCAGTCTCAAGAAATTTTAAATTCCAGCAGGGCAAATTCTGTAAGATTTCCAAGTTTGGGAACAATCCTCTGTGGCCTGAGGATTGACCCTTTGGGCCCACGGCTCTGGCCTCTGTGCCCATGACTCTGCCCTCTTCATCCTTGGCTCTGGCCTCTGGACCCATGGCTCTGCCCTAGGAGTTACCTTCTTTTTTCTCAAAGGGTAGCACATAATTGAAGCTGAGTAGTTTAGTCAGCCTATTTTCTTCTTGCAAAATTTTGGGACTCTCTCAACCTTCCTTCATTTTATGCTTTCTCTGTCCTTTCCATTTAAGCTGGCAGTGTTTCTGCTAGTATAACATTTTCAAAAGCCTTGTGGCTCTCCTCTGTATATCATGGGAACTCATGCAATAAGACAAGAGGATCATCCACAAATCCTTCCTGGATAATCAGCAAGAAGAAACTAGGACACATCTTCAAAAAATCTCCTCAGTGAAATAGCCAAGTTCATTGCTTATAATTTATGTGTTCCACACAACTGCAGGACATAATTCAGTTAAGTTTTTGTCACTATATAACAGGATCACCTTTCCTCCAGTTTCTCAATAACATGTTCCTCATTTCCTTCTGAGCCCTCAACAGAAGCACTCTCATATATCTACAAACACTCTGTTTATGATGACATATGTATTCTCTAAGATGATATAGGCTTTCTCTATCATGATCCTTAATTCTTCCTGAGCCCTCACCAGAAACGTCTTTAACATCCCAACAGTCTGTTTAAGGCAGTCTAGGCTTCTTAAACCATGCTCCTCAAAATTCTTCCAGCCTCTACCCATTACCCAATTCCAAAGTCACTTCGACATTTTTAGATATTTGTTACAGCAGCATCTCACTTTCCGGTACCAAAATCTTTACTAGTTTCCTATGGCTGTTCTAACAAATTGCCACAGCCTTGGTGACTTAAAACAACAGAAATTTATTCTCTTCCAGTTCTGGTATCCAGAAGTTCAAAATCAGTTTCAATGAGCTGAAACCAAGGTGTCGGTAGGGCCGTGCTCCCTCTGGGGGTAGATTTGTTCCTTGCTTCTTCTAGCTTCTGGTGACTACTGGCAATCCTTGGTAATTGTTGGTTTGTGGCTGTATCATTCCAACCTATGCCTTCATCTTCACATCACCTTCTCGTCTGTGGATGTGTGTGCCTTCTCCTCTTATGTCTATCAAATCTGCCTCTGCCTCTCTCATATAAGGACCTTGTGATTGTCTTTAGGGCCTGCCCAGATAATCCAGGGTAATCTCTCCATCTCAAGATTCCTAACTTAGACACATTTGCAAAGATCCTTTTTTCAGATACAGTAACTTTACACGTTCCAGGGATTAGGACGGATATCTTTTGGGTAGCCATTTTTTCAGCCTACTACATGCCGTATGCAACTTAAATTGCAAATATTGAAGCTATTTTTGTGATAATATGCTAAATGTACCACTACCAGGTTTAAAACATGGGAATAACAATATTCATAACAAATTTGCTAAAATGTTTTGTTCCTGCTTTACACTCCATTAGTTGGCCACCAGGTTGTAAAAACAGCACCTTCCTTTAGCTCTGCCCTAGGCACTCCTTTTGGTCCCCGCCACATAGAGGCTGTGTGACCTACCCACGGGGCCATTAGCTCTTCTCTCACCTCAGCTGGCAAAGTGAATGTACTTGTTTTTAGTCTAAAAAAAATTACCTTCTCTGGGTCCTAAATAAAAAATATTACTCCAAACACTATTGTTCAATTCTCATTAAAAAAAAAAAAAAAAAGAAACTCAAGTACAAGACACAATATTTGTTATTTGTGAAGAATTGCCTGGAGAGTATTTTTCTTTAACATAGCTTATATTTTATCCTAGGACAGTTTACGGGAGATGCACGTACTTGTGTCACACTGTTTTGGCATGATGCCCTTGGGCTGCACTGAAGGACATTAAGAAACATCCTCGTAAATGTGTCGCAGAAGTTGTCCAGTCCATCAGGACACCCTCTGGAGTCTACAGGAGGTTTCTCTCTGGACTTAGGGAAGAACAACTATGCTGATGAACACTATTAATCTTACAGCGAAAGTCTGTTCCCTTTGTTCTGCCCATAAGGGAGAGTAGAGCTTAAATCATCATTAGCACTGCTTAGAGCCTATGGTGGGAATTGTCATGGGTTGCTCTTACTCTAGCTTTATCAGGTTTTCTTTCTCTCTCCCTTTCTTTTTTTTTTTTAAACTTATAATACAATGAACACTAAATGATTCCAACAAATAACCTAATGTATTTCAGTATATGCCTTCACATCTTTTTTTTGGGGATGGGAAGATGTTTGTAAAAAATAAATACTATTTAAAAAAATAGATTGAAATAGATCATTGACACATTTTTGGAAAAAAAAAAAAAAGAGTGACCACATTCTCTCACATAGTATCGTGCTTGAACTTGAGCCTGGATGGCTCTGATTAGTGCACGTCTCAGCATGGCTAGCCCAGCCCTCAGCAATCCCACTGCAGTAAGTGCATCATTTGAAAATACCAGCCATAAACACATCTCTAAAAGGCTTCATTATGCTGATGATTCAGTTCATAATATAGCTCCCTGCTGTCTCAAAAGCAAGAATTGCATACGTGGCCACTTCTTCCCCCTTCATTTATTCAGTTATAGATTCAGGGTGTTCCTCGAGGAAAGCATCATAATTTCTCCAAATAAGTAAAGACAGGAGGACACCCCATGGAGTGTTCCAGTGCATTTCTGTCCCATTGACTTATTCACCCTTGATAACTAGGCCCTTCTTTTCATGCACGATCATTACATAAAAATCCTCCTCTGAAGCTACTTGTTCTTTATCTCAAAAGTCACCTGTGAAATAGGACTCTTACATTTTCAGATATGGCATTTAGTACAGAGAAAGTGGAGGATGCAAAAAAAAAAGTGATAGAAAAAAAAAGAAATCTTGATTAATTCCTATTAAGAAATGCAAATTTCTCACAAATGGAAAATGCCTTCACTTCAAAAAGTTAAACAAGACAGACTTAAAAAGAAATCATTCTTTATGGTTAAATGTAGGGATAGTGAAAAATGCCTTTACTACAATATTCTTTGGAGTTACTACATTTTTATCTGCTTGGGAATAGGGTAAGTCAAGCCTTTGCTTTGGAACCTTGTTCAAAGCTTGTTACAGAGTCTATATTTGTTGGTACATTTTCAAGAAATGTGTGGGGAATACACTCTTCTCTCACTTCAGTTACTAACTTCAGCTTTTTTATTGCTGTTGTTTTCTACTTATAGTCCTCGTTTCTCTTTTTTGCAGCCAACGTCTACTTGATACAAAAGCATGTTATAGGAAAACGAATGAGCAATACACAGATTCTAGATTCAAGAATGGAGCCGAGAAAGAAATTTCCATGAAAAACAAATCGACTATTAAGTGAAAATGTGATTGAATTCATTATAGTAGATAGGTTTGGGCCTAATAATTCAATGAATACGACTGACTCAAGGAAACAAATCTAGTGTCAGTTCACTGAGGACAAAACCGTAACATGTAAAAGACAATGCAAATAATATTTCAAATTAACTGATGACAAAGTAAGACATAAAAAAGTCACCCTGGAAACTACAGGTGCATGAGTTTAACTCTAAGGGAAAAGAATGTTAAGTCTAGTATCATTTCATCTAAAAGTAAGGATATTCCTAAGAATACTGGACTGACATACTGATTCTTTTTGCAGCAAGGTGCTATAAAATTAAACACTTCTACTTGTGTGGTACTTGACAGTGTTGATGCTTTTTTTTTCTTTTTAAATCTCATTTGATCTTTTTTGCCCATTTGGTAATCAGGTGACTTGTTTTCTTATTGCTTGTTTCTTATTTGACGAGTTCTTCATATATTTTTAGAAACCCTGGTGGTGTAGTGGTTAAAAGCGATGGCTGCTAACCAAAAGGTGGGCAGTTTGAATCCACCAGGCACTCCTTGGAAACCCTATGGGGCAGTTCTACTCTGTCCTATAGGGTCGCTATGAGTCATAATCAATTCGATGCCAATGGGTTTTTGTTTTTTTTTGTTTTGCATATTTTGAAGGTAAGTCCTTTTTCAGATACGTGTTTTGCAAACATTTTTTTCTCCATCGCAGCTTTTCTTTTCATTCTCTTAAAGGTGTCTTGCGCAGAGCCAAAGTTTTCAATTTTAATGAAGTCCAACTTAGTCAATTTTTTTATTTTATGAATCATGCTTTTGGTGTTGTATCTAAAAAGTCATCACAAAACCCAAGGTCACAGAGATTCTGTACTATGTTACCTTCTAGAAGTTGTACAGTTTTGCATCTTCACTTAAGTCTATGATCCATTTTGAGTTAATTTTTGTGAAAGATGTAAGCTGTATCTAAATTCATTTTTTTTTGTATGTGAATGTCCAGTTGTTCCAGAACCATTTGTTGAGAGACTATCCTTTCTCCATTAAATTCGTTTTGTTCTCTTGCCAAAGATCAGTTGACTATTTTGTGTGGGTTAATCTCATTTTTACAAAAACTAAGCAGGAAGTAACAAGAAAATTTATTATTCTCATTTTTTAAATAAGAAATCAGAAGCTCAGCATGGATAAGTGATTTTCCCAAAGTCAAACAACTAGAAAGTGAAAAAGGTGGACTAGAACCCTAATCAGCTGGACTGGAAGTAAGCTCTATTTCTATTTTGCTAAGTGGCTGCTATCTTTTTCTATTTGATTCATTCCACAGGGAATGCTGACATGCCTGGGGTAAAATCCACTCTATTCAAACACTGTCTCTCTTGCATTTATTTTTTAACAAACCAAGAGTAATACTGGAGTTGATTTAATAACTAAACCATCACACATTTCTGCACAAAACAATCAACCTACCCTTTTACGAAGTTTTTCCGCAGCATCGAGTTCAGCTTTAATAGTTTTATCAAATTTATTTAAAAGTTTAGGCTTCTTTTTCTTAACTGAAAGAAAAGAGAGGTTTTTATTTTTGGTCTGGAAATAGCTATTAAGAATAGTGATTTTTAGGTAGTGAGAAAGCCAAACACATCACTGTGGGAGCAAACACATTCCCAGCTCACCTGCCCTGTCTCCCCTGCCACCTCCTAGCAGTATAAGGAAGTCAGCAACTGCCCAACTGTGGGAAGACCACTAGGCGCAAAAGTATTCTTGGAAGACCGGTGGATACCGGCATCCTGAAACTCTCTGGGCTATTTGCTTAGTTTCTGGAATGAAGATGGGAGGTAGGATTTCTAAACTCTCATAATCTTTTTCTTTGCCAAGTCCAAAACGACCACTTAAAATCACTTTCAAATATGTCTACAACTTTTCTGATTCTGATAAAGATAAAAATGGAAGCTACTATCAAGGGATTCAAGTAAAATGGAATTTTTTAATATATATATTTTTATTGTACTTTAGATGAAGGTTTACAGAACAAATAGTTTCTCATTAAACAGTCGGTACACATATTGTAAAATGGAATTTTTTAGTCTAGCATTCAAAGCCCTTCCAGCGAACCACTGACCTGCTGCCCTTGCGATGTTCCACAGTGTCATGCATTGAATTATGCCCCCCCAAAAACGTATGTGTCAGTTTGGCTGGGCCATGATTCCCAGTATTGTGTGGTTGTCCTCCATTTTGTAACTGTAATTTTATGTTAAAGAGGATTAGTGTGGGATTGTAACACCCTAACTAAGGTCACATCCCTGATCCTATGTACCGGGAGTTTCTCTGGAGTGTGTCCTGCATCACCTTTTATCTTACAAGAGATAAAAGGAAAGGGAAGCAAGCAGAGAAGGGGGACCTCATACCACCAAGAAAGCAGTGCCAGGAGCAGAGCCCGTCCTCTGGACTCATGGTCCCCGCACAGAGAAGCTCCTAGTCCGGGGGAAGATTGATGAGAAGATCGACAGAGACAGAAAGCCCTGAATTTGGACTTTCAGCCTACTTTACTGTGAGGAAATAAACTTCTCTTTGCTAAAGCCATCCGCTTGTGGTATTTCTGTTATAGCAGCACTAGATGACTAAGACACATAGTTCAGCCGACCTGGACTGCCCTGTGTTCCCCAGACAAGCTTTGTGCCATTTCTTATGCCACTTTCTTGAAATAAAATGGCCTATTCTTTATGTTTGCCAACCAAAAATATGCCCGTTCCTCAATAACTAGCTCAAGACTATGCTCCTTATAAAGCTTCCCCTGACGTCACCCACACAGTACACGTGCATTCTCTTTTTCTCTCTCTCCCTCCTGCAGTCCACAGTGCCCTGCACATCTCTATACTGTGGAACTGTCCCCGTATGTCTTTTATTATCTGTGTATTTATCCCATCCTTTTCTAAGCCATAACCTCCTGCAGGGTGCCCCTACGTGTTAAATGCAGGCTGAGTTATTCATGAGTACTTAACATCCATTTGTTTGAATATCTATCATGTGCCTGACTGTGCAAGACCCCGGCCAACAATGAACAGGAGCCCTCTTCCCCAAAGCTGTGAGTGGG